ATCTTAAATATTACCCAAGAATTTTGTATAGCAGACCCCTCTCAGCCATATTTGTTGCAAAGATTTTGTTTCTTAGCCTTGTGGCATTGATATTTTTCTTGCAAAGGCTTTTCAATTTAATTTAGTTAAAAATCAGTTTTATATTTTGTGATTGCCCCTTTTCTTTAGTAGAGTTCTCTTCCTTGCCATAGCTGTCAAGAGTGCCTATCTTGTCCAATAATTTTTTTTTTATGATGTGATCTTTAACATTCAGATCACATATAACATATCAAGCTTACTGTGGTAAATGGTACATTATGCTGGTCTATATCTGGTTTCTGCCAACTTGCTTTCTAGTTTCTCAGCATCTTTTGCCAGGTAAGGAGTTCTTCCTCAAGCAACTTACGTTCTCAGGTTTATTGAATACTGAGTTGCCAAATTCAGTTGTTTCTGATCCCTCTTAAGCCAGTTTCTTCCACTGATCCAATTTTTTTTTTTACTTTTTAGCCAGTACCAAATAGTTGTGATGATTACTGTTTTGAAATATAATTTGAGATCTAGAAATGCCATTCTGCCCTCATTGGTGCTCTCCTCCCCCATTATTTCCTTTGAGTTTCTCTACCTTTTATTCTTCCAAATGGATTTTGTCTAGCTCTGTAAAGTACCTCTTGACAGTTTGTTTGGTATTGCAGTAAATCCATAAATTAATTTAGGTAGCATCATCATTTTATGATATTGGCATTGCAACTGCTCTAATTCTTATGAAATTCTGAATTCTATTGAGCTGAAATCTTGTTCCCTGTAATTTCTATCCATTGTTGGTGGTTTGATTCTTTAGAGCACAGAAGAAATAAATCTAATTCTTCTGCCCCATGACAGTCATTCAGACATCATCCCTCCCCCAACCTGTGTTTTTCCTCCTTTAAATCTACCTTTTCATATTTTGCCCCAGTCTGAGTGAGAAATGCGTTTCATTATCATTAAAGCTAAGTTTGGCTAGCCGCCCTCTCTGCTTCCTGGAGAATCTTCATGTTATAATTGCCCCATGCAATTCTGTGATCAGTGTGGTATATGGAAAAGAGCCTGACTCCAATTGTGCTGGAGTCAGAGGACTTGAGTTTGAATTCTTCCTTTGCTTCCTTATCACCTCTGTAACCTTAGAGTCACCTCACTGGTCCTTCATATGCTCATCTGTAAAATGAAGGCTGTTAGACTAAAAGATCTCCAGGCTTCTTCTAGCTCTTAATCCTGCCATCTAATGATTAATCTAGCAGGGGAAGCCTTAGACATAAAAAAGCCTGGATTTCTAGAAGGTGTTGGACAAAGACTCTCCTGACATGGTTGTGGAGAGGATGAAAAGATGAGGGTTGGATGATGGTACAACTAGGTAGATGCTGAACTGGTGGCTTGATTGGACCCAAAGCCTGTTGATTAATGGAAAATCTTCCTGCTAGAGAGGTCTCTAGTGGAGTGCCCCAGGAGTCTTGGATAAGCCCAGTTAGGCTCTTCAGTCTTACCAATAACTTAGATGAAAGCACCATTGGCATGCTAATTAAAATATTGTTATGCCACAAAGCTAGGAGGGATAGCTACACAGGACAATAGAACTGGGATCCACAAAGATCATAAGCTGGAACAGGGGATTGAGGAAGACGCGTAATAGAGAAAAATCATACATTTCTACACTTGGAGTAAAACATTTGCACTGAAAGGGATGGAAAGAAGCTCAGGTGAACAAGACAGGGAATCTAGCAGACTTTCAAAATGAGTCAGTAGCATGATTCAGCGGGATCAAATGAGATAATATTTGGAAAGCACTTAGCACGGCGCCTGGCACGAGGTAGGTGTTAATAAAGGCTTATTCTCCCTCTTCACCACCAATGAGATGATCCGATATTAGACTTCATTAGCAGATGTTTAGTGTTCAGATAGAAAGGGGTCATAGTCCTACTATACTATGTTCTGGTCAAAATGTATTTAGATTGTTGTATTCCCTTTTAGACACAGCATTTAGGAAATCAAAGTGGAAGAAATCCAGGGGATTGCAAGATGATGAAGGAAGTTGAAACCATGTCATATGGGTTAGTTGAAAGAAATTGGGCTTGTGTAATATAATAGCCAAAAAAGCTAATTTGAACCTTGACCTGCACTAAGAAGGTCATAGCTTCCAGGAATAGGGAGGTGATATAGTTATTTTATTCTCTGCCCTCATCAGAGCTACTCTGCAGTGTTGTTTTCAGTTCTGGGCACCTTGATTTAAGCAGAGGAAAAGAGGACAAGCATTGATTAAATGCTAGGCACTATGCTAAGCACTTTGCAAATATTGTTCCATGTGATCCTCTCAACAACCCTGGGAGGTATTGAGATGCTATTATTATTCTTCACATTTCACAGTTGAAGAAGTTGAGGTAGGTAGTTCAAGTGACTTGTCCAGGGTCACCCAGCTTATCCATAGCAGAGGATGGATTTGAATTAAGATCTTACTGACTCACTGTGCCACCTAGCTGACATTGATAAACTGGGAGCCAACCAGGATGGTGAAGGACTTTGAATCTATGGCATATGAAAAGTAGTGGGAGGAAATGGACATATTTATCCTAAAGAGAAGAAGAGATGATTTGGGACATGATAGCTGTATTCTAGTATTTGAATGAGTCTCGGGTGGAAAAGGGATTAGATTAATCTTTGCTCAAGAGGACAGAAATAGGAGTCTGGGTAGAAGTTGCAAAGAGGCCTATTTGTGTTCTGTTAGGAGAAATTTCCCACAATTGTTTTTGTTGTTATTCAGTCATTTTTTACTTATATCCATCTCTTTATTACCCGATTTGGGGTTTTCTTGGCAAAGATACTGGAGTGGTGTGCCATTTCCTTCTCCAGCTCATTTTATAGATGAAGAAACTGAGGCAAACAGGGTTAAGTGATTTGCCCAGGGTCACACAGCTAGTAAGTGTCTGAGGCCAGATTTGAACTCAGGAAGATGAGACTTCCTGACTCCAGGCCCACATTCTATCCACTGTGGTGCCACCTACCTATTAGGGCCATCCAGAAGTGGAATGGGCTTTCTTGAGAAGTAGTGAGTTCCTCCTCCTAGAAGTCTTCCAGCAGAGGCCTATCTATTCCTTGTAAGGTGTGTTCATATCTGGGTCATATCTAATGTCTTCTGAGGGTCCTTACAACTCCCCAGTTCTGTGATTCTGTGACCTGAGTATGTTTAACCTGGAGAAGAGAAGATTTAGTGAGAATGACACAACAGATTTTATTGTGTTTGAAGGGGCCTCATATGGAAGGGAGGTTATGCATATACCATGCTTAGCTCTATAGGGTGGGACCAGGGCCAATGAGTGAAAGCAGTAGAATGGCAGATTTTGTTCAGTATAAAGAAAAAAAAAACGAAACCAAATTCTTAATAATTAGAGGTGTCCCCAATTGGAAAATCTGTCTCGTGAGGTAATGAGTTTCTTTTCACTGGAGGTGTTCAGTCCAGGATGCTGTAGACTACATCCGTGGAGTTGTGTTCGATGAGCTGGGAGGTCTCTTCTGACTCAAAGAGTCTATTATTCAATGATTCTTTGAAACGCTAAGGCAGGGGTGGGGAACCTGTGGCCCCCTAGGTCCTCAAGTGTGGCCCTTTTACTGAATTCAAATTTCATAGAACAAATTCCCTTAATAAAAGGAGTTGTATAAAACTTGGACTCAGTCAAAAGGTCACACTTGAGGACCTAGAAGGCCACATGTGGCCTTGAGCCAAAGGTTCCCCACCCGTGCTCTGAGGCCTCAAGTAGAGTGGCTCAGAGGACATCTGCCTGATGATCTGGAGTTTGTGGCATATGTTTCAGAAGGCTAAGAAAGGGATTAGTAATAACCTACTCTAGAGGCAGAATGGTACAGTGGAAAGAGTAAGGCATTTGAAGTTAGAGGACCTAGGTTTGAATTCCAGCTCTGCTGTTTAGCTGCCTATTGTGAACTTGGAGCAGCCAGGTGGCCCAGTGGATAGATCACTGGGCCTGGATTCAGGAAGACCTGAGTTCGTATTCAGCCTCAGATACTTACTAGATGTGTAACCCTGAGCAAGTCACTCAACTTTTCTACCTCAGTTTCCTTAAAAACAAAATGTGGGTAATATTAGCACCTACCTCTTAGGGTTGTCAAAAGAATCAAGTGAGATAATTTTCTATAAAGCATGTAGCACCATACCTGAAACATAGGAGGTGCTTAATACATGCTTGCTTGCTTCCTTCTTTGGGCAAATCACTTATCCTCTTTGGGCCTTAGTTTCCTCATGTGTAAAATGAAGGATTGGACTTATCTCTAAGGTCCCTTCCAATTCTAAATGAATGAACCCGAGGTAGAGCTCTGAGTCAGATAGGGAAGAGGCCTGGTCACTGTAGACATTCAAGTTTCATCATAGCCAGAAGAGATCTGCAGGGGTATGTTAGGGTAGGTGAAAAGCTCCTACTAAGACTTGGAGTTCTGGAGAATTCACAATCCAGAAAGATCCTAGCTGAAGAGTGTGGCTGGGGGCTGAACTGCTTGGTCAGTTGGGTGGGTGAGAGTATCGCTGAGACATTAGCCAGGAGTCAAGGAACCAAGCTAAGTCCCTAATCAACAAAGCTGGGAGTGAAGGTGTAAGTAAAAAAAAAAAAAGGGGAGGACTAGCTAGATAGTCACAGCGGAAATGGACCGGCTTTTGTTTGCTACAACAGCCTGGTAGCTTTGTGTCTCGTGAGTTCTTAAAAAATTAATACCTGATTATATCTAGGACTTGACATTAGCTCTCCAAATCTTTTTTTGTGTTTCTCCTAGTACTTCTCCTATTTTGTGATGCCCGGGCTTACCAGTCTTCCAAAATGCTTATACGTTTGTTCTTTTCAAGGTTGTAAAGGGAGGTACCATGGCCTCAGCCTCTGGACATGTTGCCCAGCGGCCTGACCTCCTGGCCATTTATACGGCATGTTTTGAGGAGGTCATCCCACTTCTAGACTCCCACTCACATGCCATTCCCTTTCCCCTCTCTCCTACAGCCCTCCTGTATGCCACCATTTTTGGGAATGTGACCACCATTTTCCAGCAGATGTATGCTAACACCAACAGGTACCATGAGATGCTCAACAGTGTTCGGGATTTCCTGAAGCTCTACCAGGTGCCAAAGGGACTCAGTGAACGAGTCATGGATTACATTGTGTCCACTTGGTCCATGTCCAGAGGCATTGACACTGAGAAGGTAAGAGACTGGGAACTTAGGAAAAACTACTTGTCCCTTAGCTTTCTCCATTGCATAATTAAGGAGGTCAATTAAGTGCAATTCAACCAAGATTTATTCCATATTACTTTCTTATTCCACATTTTCCCCTTTCATACATTGTGTGGTCCAGCTGCACTAGCCTTCTTGCTGTTCCTAACATGTCATATTATTTCCCATCTCTATGACTTTCCACAGACTGTCCTTCATACCTGTAATGTACTCCCACCTCTCCCGTACCTTTCAGACTCCCCAGTTTCCTTCCAAGCTCAGCTCAAGTGCTGCCTTCTATATGAGGACTTTCCTAATCCCCCCCAATTGCTGGTCTCTCAAATTACCTCACATTCATTTTGCATATTCTTATATGTATATACATTGTCTTCCCCAATAGAATATAAACCTGTCTAAGGCTGCACTGTTTTATTTTTATCTTTGTATCCCAAGTGCCGAGCATAATACCTGGTACATAAGAGACACTTAATAAATGCTTATTGATTGATTGATTAACTACTATGTGCAAGTCTCTAGAGACACAAAGATAAAAGTAAAATATTTCCTGACCTCAAAAAGGTTACATTACTCTAGAAGATTTGAAGAGGTATACAAATGAGAAAGGTGCAAGGTGAGAAGTACAATTTGGGATCAGTTAAACAGTTACTCTGGACCTCAGTTTTATCATCTGTGGAATGGGGACAATGATTAAATCCCTATCTTGCTCTGAGAGTTTTCTTGTGTTAATTTCATATCATGAAATAGTTTGAAGGAAAGCTTGGTCAAATTGCATAATAGAGTGAAAAAATGCACGGGTGAGAAAGGTACAGTCAACTCTCTACTATGCAGATGTGGATCAACTGCTTTGTGAACTATTTTAAAACAAATATTTAATCCTGGCCACCTTCTCCCTACAGCTCTGAAGATTTCTTGCTTTAGTCAGTGTGTGCTCAGGGAATTCAAACTTGTTTTAGTATTAGCCTGAGCTGAATATTGTTAAAAAGACAAATCTTTTGTAAACATATGGCAGGACATGTTTATAGAAAGGCAAATATGAATGGATTTGGATTATTTGTGTGACTGCTTTTTTAATATGCATGGTCAAGAGTTGAAGAGGTGATATAAGTTGAATATGAGCATATCCTCAGCCTGGGATAGTAGCATTTGTGATACATCATCTTATTTAGCCTCAAGACATCTTCACCCACCCCAGAAAGAAAAGAGGAAGGATCTGGGAAGGTCTCTTCCCATTTTACAGATGGGAAACCTGAAGCAAACAGTGATTTAATCCTTTTACATAGGGAACTTAGATCCCTGACCACCTGCCTCAGTTTCTTTCTTATATTGCTAGCATCCTCTCTCTCTCTCTCTCTCTCTCTCTCTCTCTCTCTCTCTCTCTCTCTCTCTCTCTCTGTCTTTCTCTGTCTTTCTCTCTTTTGCCTAGTTAGTCTTTTTTAAAATTAATTACTTAATTTTGATTTATCAACAATCACTTCCATAAGCTCTCAAGTTCTAAATTTTTCTCCCCCTCCCTCCCTACTTCCCTCCCCAAGACAGTGTGCATTCTAATATAGGTTATACATATACATTCCTACCAAACATATCCTCCCATTAGTGATGTTGTAAATAAGAGCTAGCATTAATAGAATGAACCACCAGAAAGAGGAAACAAAACACAACAGAAGAAAAAAAAATAGCAAATAGTATGCTTTGATCTGCATTCAAACTCCATAGTTCCCTCTCTGGATGTGGACAGCATTCTCCATCATGAGGCTTCTGGAGACTTCCTAGATCCTTGTATTGCTAAGAGGGGTTAAGTCTATCAAAGTCAGTCATCACCCAACATGGCCGTTACCGTGCACAATGCTCTCCTAGCTCTGCTCACCTCACTCAGCACCAAACCAGACAAGTCTTTCCAGGTTTATCTGAAGTCTGCCTGCTCATCATTTCCTATGCTGGCATCCTTTCTTTAGGAATAATCCTCAAAGCTAAGCTGGAGAAAGTAGCCAGAGACTGATGGAGGGAAAAGAGTCATGTTTCAGTTTAGCAGAGGACAGGATAATACTGCAATCTGCTGTCCATAGTAAAGATTTTCCTTACCCTCCTCAATTGTGGCTGGCCTAGATAATGTCTATGTGTGATGGATGGCATGGGCACCATTTACTCAAGGCTCTATCCCTTTGGGTAAGATGAAGATAGGTGGGATGTGGGCAGAGAACACCCAGTTCCACCACACTGGACCTTCTTTAGCCTCTAGAATCTTTCACAAACTGCAAGGAAAGACTGCCCAACATAGTCGTGAGATTTGTATTAAAGCTCCCATCCTGATGACCTCTTCTATGCAGGAGGAAAAAGAGCTACATCAGGGGTGGGGAACCTTGGGTGCAGCCTTTTGACTGAGTTCAGGTTTTACAGAACAAACCCTTTTATTAAGGGCTTTTGTTCTGTGAAGTTTGGATTCAGTCAAAGGGCCACACTTGAGGACCTAGAGGGCCATATGTGGCCTCGAGGCCACAGGTTCCCCACTCCTGACTTACGTCTTCAGCCCCTGAAATCCAACCCGATGGCATGAAATTATAACAAGATGGCATGACATTATAACAATTTGCTTGACCAGCCTTCTTGTGGAGGTTAACCTACCTGGAAAATAGTCCACTGGAGAGCAGTTCTGTAGGGAAAATAGGTTATGCCTTCATCCTCATTCCTTTTCCCAACTCTTTTTTTCTCCCTCATATGGCTATATTATGTTTGATAATTAAGAAGAATGCTTAGAAATGGTGGTAGACTGGAGTTTGGTGACCAGCTGCCAATGGTTGGCTGTGAGTGAGCTATCTGATCTTAGACAAAAGTTCACTTCACCTATTTGGCCTTCTTCTTCTCACTCTGTACAGTAAAGTGTTTGGACGAGATATCAGGCCTCGTACAGCTTTGATTCTAGATAAGATGGTCCGGTCTCCCATGAGGACACATCCCTGTTGATGTCTAGGGTCTTTAAAGCAAATGAAGGAATGGAATCCCCAGGAAGTCAAACAGCAAGAAAGCTTAGCCCAGGGAGCTCAGATTTGAAGCTCTTATCTAAGTGATACAGAATGTGTGTGTGTGTGTGTGTGTGTGTGTGTGTGTGTGTGTGTGTAAGACAAAAAGAGAAAGTGAGAGGGAACACAAGAGAAAGTGAGAAAAGAGAGAAAGCAAAAGAAAGGAAATGAGAGAAAGTAAACAAGAAAGAGATAGTAAGAGAGAGAAGTTGAGAAAGTGAGAAAGGGAAAGTAATAGTGAGAAAGAGAAAGTGAGACAAAAAGAGACCATGAGAGAGAAATAGAAAGTGAGAAAGATAAAGCAAGAAAGTAAAAGAGAAACTAAGAGAGAAAATGAGACAGAAAAAGAAGAGAGAAAGTGTGAGAGAGAAAATGAGACAGAGAAAGTAAGAGAGAAAGTGAGAGAAGGAAAAAAGAGAAAGTGAGAAATTAAGAAAGTGTGTGTGTATGTGTGTGTGTGTGTGTGTGTGTGTGTGTGAGAGAGAGAGAGAGACAGACAGAGACAGAGAGACAAGGCAGAGAGAGCATGCACTTGATGGAGCAATAACTCACGAAGATGAGACTGCCCGCTAGCCATGGCAGTCCATAAATTCTGCCGCCCAAGCTCTGTTGCCTCTCCCACCCACACCTATACACACAGGGCTTTGGAGTGCTGCCCATGAATAAAACATCATTTCAACACCAAGGCCTCGCTCTGCTGCAGCTGCTGCTGGATAGAACAGAGCTGCTTGAGCCTGAGAAAACCAAATATTTACAGGTGAATTCACCTAGAAGATAAATCTTGGTTCCAAACCAGTGGGCACAGCTCTGACATGACATGCTGAGTTTTCTTGCGTGCGATATGCTTGGAGAGAGGAAGCCCCTGTTCATATTTGTGGATTTTGTAGGTTGTTTTTCATGGCTCTTCATCTCCCTCACTCCCCATCCTCCACATGTAATCAGTTGTTGTTTTGTTGAATCTATTTGTCTAAGATTTCTTACATCCAGGGGCATGTTGGTTAATGTTTGACAACTGGCTCTCCAAAAAGAAAAAAAAAGAAAAATGTATGCACAACAAACTTTTAAGTTTAACTGCCATGATTAGCCTTTTCTCCATCACTTTCTTAAATCCAGACAATCAGCAAAGCAGTAAATCAAGCAGTGACTGAGAGCACTTGCCCATGAAGGTGTAAACCATCCTACTGAAAATTTAGCAGTTGGCTCACGCTATACAAGTGGGGCCCCAGCACATCTCTGCTTACATCCATCCTTTTCTCCCCACCCAAAACAAAACCATCCTAATTCAGGCCTTCATCACCTCTTGCCTGGATTATTTCAACAGCCTCACATTGGGGTGTGTGTGTGTGTGTGTGTGTGTGTGTGTGTGTGTGTGTGTGTGTAGGGAGAGAGAGAGGAAGAGAGAGACAGAGAGAGAGAGAGAAAAACACAGAAAGAGAGGAGAGAGGGGAGGGAGAGGAAGAAAGAGTGAGAGAGAGAAAAGAGAGAAAGAGTGAGGGAGAAAGAGAGCAAGAGACAGAGAGAGGCAGAGACAGAGATAGACACAGAGGACAGAGACAGAGGAGGAGAGAGAGAGAGAGAGAGTGTGTGCATCCAGTAGGTCTCGCCTCTTCAATCCATCCTTCATACTGCTGCCAAACTGACATTCTTAAAGCACAGGACTGACCACGTGACTCATCGCTCCAGGAGCTTCAGTGGTTCTTTTGTGCCCCTTGAATCAAATAACAAACTTCTGTTTTACATGGAAAGCCTTATCTAGTCTGACTCCAGACTCTTTCCTGGTGTGTCCCTCCCTGTCATGCCCTCTACATTCCTGGTCTGTTTGTTGGTCTCTATGCATGACATCCCATCAGCCCTCTCTGTGCCTTTGCAAAGGCCATCCCTCTTGCCTAGAACACTTTCCCTACTCATCTCCACCTCTTGTAATCTCTAGTTCCTTTCTAGGCTCGCCTGAAATGTCCCCTACTCCAATTAGCCTTTCTTGATTCCCCCAGTAAAAGCTGTCAGCTTCTTGAGGTCATGGAATAGTTTGGTTTTTTGTCTTAGTGCCCCTAAGGTTTACCATAGTGCCTGGCACATAGTAGGTATCTAATAAATGCTTGTTAAGTTGAACTGAACTGAACTGAATTTAACTAGACCTAGATCTTTAATAAATGTTCAGTCTTAGCCTTGACAGGCTGATTTTATATTCCGCTTCTGTTCAGTCATTTTTCAGTCAGGTCTGACTCTTTGTCTCCCTGTTTGGGATTTTCTTGGCAAAGATACTGGAGAGGTTTGCCATTTCCTTCTCCAGCTCATTTTACAGATGAGGAAACTGAGACAAAGTGACTTGCCCAAGGTCACACAGCTAGTAAGTGTCTGAGGCCAGATTTGAACTCAGAAAGATGAATCTAGGTTACACACTTAGTAACTGTGAGTGTTGGAGTTTGAATATCAATCTGCTAATTCCTAACCCAGTTTTCTTTCCACTGCACAATCTTGCCTCTACAAAATAGAAGCCGTAGTCTTGTGGTAGCAGCTGGAATGACTTTGACAGTTACTGTCTTCTATCTTTTCCTAGGTTCTCCAGATATGCCCCAAGGACATGCGGGCTGATATCTGTGTGCACCTAAATCGCAAGGTGTTCAAGGAGCATCCAGCATTCCGGCTCGCCAGCGATGGCTGCCTACGGGCACTGGCCATGGAATTCCAGACGGTTCATTGCGCCCCTGGCGACCTCATCTACCATGCTGGCGAGAGTGTTGACAGCCTGTGCTTTGTGGTTTCAGGTTCTTTGGAAGTGATTCAGGATGATGAGGTGGTAGCCATTTTGGGTAGGTTGTTCCTACAGACGGATACATTCCTGGTCCTTGGGTTACACTGACCATTGGGCAGAAGGTACAGATGCTCAGGGCCTGCCAGTGTTGGGCTGTACAATTTATTGAGAGCCCACCAAGGCCTTAATGTGACTACATTGGCTGACCAGAAGGATCTTTCTTGGGTATGTGGCTAACTCCTGGAGATCTCATGCATAAAAATGACCCAATTTTCTATAGTAAGGAATGGGGGAAAGGAGAGAGCATATAGGACAATAGATAATCTAAAAACCATATCTGTTTGACTTTGGAATGCTTTATATCACTTCTTTTATATCATTTGTACACACGCCCCCCTCAACTCCCTAAATTTGTCCTCATTATTATATTTTGCTCAGATGGTAGAATTATAGATTTAGAGCTAGGAGGGACCTCAGATGCCATTTTAGTCCTTCCTCCTAGTTCTACAGATCAGGCAGTTGTGGCCCCACCACGCAGATGATAAACTTCAGAGGCAGAATTTAAACCCAGTTCCTCTGACCCCAGGGTGAATTTTCCGCTGTACCATGTTTCTCAATTTACTCCAAGATTACTTTTAAGAATATTTTTTTATTTCTTAGATATATCCTAGCTGATGATGAGGGATGTTTAGACAGGAGAAACTTGAAATCCTCACCCCTCTGATCTTGGTTCTGCCACTAACAAGGTCATGTAATCTCTAGGCCTCTGTCCCCTCATGTCCAGAATGAGGGGTTTGGATTAGATGACTTTTAAACTCTGTCGTTCTGTAGCTAAGTTTATGTTTCTGGGCTACAATGAAGTTTCAGGATTCTCTGTAGATTTCATTTGACTACATTTCATTGTTTCCCAGTGGCTACAACCACAGACGACTGAGAATAGGCTATGTCAGAGGTACATAATGCAGGTCACAGCCATCAATTTGTGGTCTCTAAAAGTAAAGTGTATTTTATCTCCACCCTTAATATAGGGCATCCCAAAAGTCTTAGTTCAATATATAACTTATTGCCCCTCCTATTCACTAACATATTACTAATGTCTATTCTTGCAATTGAAAAAAAACCTTATAATAGTAATTCATTATTAATGTAGTGTCTTTCTTATATGAAAATGAGGCTATTGGTCTCCTTAGTGGGGTATGAGCTCTGGATTGTTTTCTGGTAGTGATGATGGGTTGTGTTGGGCCATCCACATTCCCTCAGCTGGTTCTTCTTATATGTTATCAGATGTGTGTGTGTTTCCTGTATAAAGCTAGCTGGCCAGAATGGAACTGGTGTTCCCTCATTAGCATCATGCTTTGACATCCAAATTGCTGGCCAAGGCTAACATGTGACCCAGCTCTGAAGAATTCCCAGTCTAATACAAAGCAAGCAGGAATCAAATGGCCATTTGAAGAAAAGGGGTTTAAGATACAGGCCTCCCAGATCCTTTTCCCAAGAAGGGAGGGGCTGCTGGATAAATCAGTCAAGTTAGATAAATGAGGACATGCCTGACACCAGCTGATCTTCCTCCTCCAAGAGACCCTCTTGCCTCTTGGTTTTGACAGCTCTGGGTGTGATAAGGTAAATCCTCCCTGGGGTTTAAGCCAAATCTATCACTGACAGCAGTCTGAAATGCATTCCCATCTGTCAGCCAGCCCTAGCAGAGCCCCAGCTCCTGAGAAAGGAGTGAGGCCCAGGCCTTCATCCGTGTGCTCTCTAGTCTCCCAGGCGGGGACAGTTGTGGGAGTAAAAGGGGTGAAACTGCAGTTTTGTTTGAGCAGTTGTAGGTGATTCAGTATGGATAGCATGGCTGGGGCCTGGTTCTCCCTTATCTCACTTTGTTCCTTTCCTCACAGGATTGATTTCTGCTATTATTTTGAAAATCCCACACATGTGTCATGACATTTATCCTGGAAGAAATGATTGGTCATGGATCTTCTCATATTGCTGCTTCAGTTGTTGCTAGTTTAATGATGATAAAAGGGTGGTGCCTGAGGAAGATGTTAACCCTAAAACAACCTCCTGATCACCAGGCTTGTTCAGCACGTATTCCTAGGGAAGCCACACTGAGAACCGCCCTCACTTCCTGGGAGATGAGGGAGGGACAAAACCCTATACCTTTCCCCGAAGAGTTGAGCTTATTGTGGCTTTGCACAGAATGTGCTTGTGGTAGATCGGAAAAGGGGGATCTGCCCACTTTGTGAGCTGGAAAGATTAAGAAAGGGATCAAGGGACTTGGAAAAAGTCCACAAACCCACATCAGTGGAGAAGGTAAAAGGAAAAGATCGGCCCCTTGTACTACGTAAATACTAGTTCTTAGTGGAAAAGGCTTTGTCTCTGGAGTAAGAGGGCCTGTGATGTTTACAGTTGGTGTGACCTTGGACAAATCTCACTAACTACCTAGGCCTCAGTTTGTTCATCTGTAAAATGGAGGGATTGGATTAGAGAGCCCCTGAGGTTCCTTCTAGTTCTATGACCCGATGCTCATTCTACTCAATGTTATTGGAAATCTGAGAAAGGGAGGAATAGAGAAGGACAAAGGACAGGAATAACAACAACAGCTAGTTATTTCTATAATACTTTAAGGTTTGCAAAGCTCTTTACAAATGTTATCTCATTTTATCCTTGAAACAAAGGCAGGTATTATTATTATTAATGTCTCATTTTACAGATGAAGGCAGACTGAGGCAGACAGAAATTAAGTAACTTGCCTAGGGTCACACAGCTAATAAATGTCTGAAATAGAGATCCAACCTCAGTTTTTGGATTCTAGGTCCAACATTCTATCCACCGTGACACCTATCTGTCTGGGGAGAGTGAAGTAAAGAAATAAAACTCTCTTGTTGGCATGTAAAATCATTGGGTTTTTTTGTTTGTTTGTTTAGTTTAGTATAGGAAGCCTTGAAACAGATCCCAGAGCTAGTCTGTCATTATCTTCTCTGGGCCCTGGCTCTCAGAGCTCCCACAAACTCACTTTTAACAACCTCTTTCCCTTTTCAACCCTGGTCCCTAACTTAACTACAATTTAAAAAACAATTCCATGTTCCTTTAAAGTTTACAAAGCACCCTCCCATACACACCCACATACAACACACACACTTCTGTGAGGTAAGTTATGCACAAGTATAATTGTCCCCATTTGATAGATGGGGAACCTGAGGTTTAGACCAATTGCATGACCTGCTTATGACTACAAAGCCAGTAATATTAGAATCAGGATTTGAACACAGCTGTCCTGGCTCTAAATCTCATGCTCCATGAAGCCTTTATGAAGTATTTATTATGGGTAAGGAATCAGGCTAGGTGTTAGGGATACAAAGATAAAATGGAAAACAGTCCCTGACCTCAAGGAGCTTACAGTATTCCTACTGTAGCATGGAGCCTCTCTAGCTCATGACTGAGAGGCCATTTCATAGAGTTCTTGTATTTATGGCTGGAAGTGATTTCAATACCATGCTTCTGCTGCATTATTACCCTAAGACCTTCCTTCCTGGTGCCTTCTCAGCCTCTAATATGCCATCTACCCCTACAGCCTTCTGACTTTGAACATTTCCTCAGCTATTCTACCTCTTTCTCCCATTGGTGAGTTCTTCCTGGGGCCTCCATTGAAGGGAAGACCCAAGGCCTGACAACTTTCCTTCCCCTCCTTCCTGTCCTTCTGACTTTCTAGACTTCAACACATAACACCATGTCCCCACTCGATACTCTCATCAGCTCCCCTCCCCCATTAGAATGTAAGCTTCTTGAGGGCAGGAGCTGCCCTTCTTTTTGCTTGTCTTTATATCCCCAGCACTTAGCAGAGTTTCAAGCCTTTGACCTGATGCTCATTCTACTCAATATTATTGGAGATCTGGTGAAGGGGATGAATGGGGAAGAACAGAAGACACGAATAACAACATGGAGGGCTTTCCAAGCCTCATCTTCCTGAGTTCAAATCTGGCCTCAGACACTTACTAGCTGTGTGACCCTGGGCAAGTCACTTCACTCTGTTTGCCTCAGTTTCCTCATCTATCAAATGATCTGGAGAAGGAAATGCAAACCACTCCAGTATCTTTGCCAAGAAAACTCCAAATGGTATCACAGAGGGTCAGACAAAACTGAAGCGACTGAATAAGAAATTGTTTCAAAACAGAACAAAGAAATATTTTTTTCTTAAAAGACGAGGATAGATAGCCCCTGTCCTTGGAGAATTTGTATACCCGACTTCCTGAAGAGAGCAGGCTGAGCCAAGTGATCCTTTAAGGCCCTTTCTAACTCCAGGATTCTTTTCTCCAGGATTGGGAATTGGCACCTCTTCCACATCCTTTCTTTGGGGTCTCTTAGAGATTGGTGTTCATTTCTCAAATCTCTTTTTAAGTCCCTCTTGGATCATCAAGTTTAAGCTTATGTTGAGAGGCAGGGGAGCTGGGGAGGAGTTGGGACCTATGATTTCATTATATATTATATTTTCAGCATGGACACTCCTTCTGTGGGTACAGATAAAAAAACTCCTCTGTAACTCAGTCTTAGATGGTCACCTGGGCCTCTGAGAGATTAAGTGACCAATCACAGGTGGTTTGTATGAGAAGCAGTTCTTCTTGCCTCTAAGCCCGACTCCCTAGAAATGGTACCTTGCTGCCTGCCTCTTCTGTTTTTACAAAGATTCTTTTTTTTTTTTTCAGAAGAATAATGTCATCTTCCTCTCATTGTCAAAGGATGGGAAGAAAAATTTAAAAGGCTCTGGCAGCCCTGTTGCCTCTGCCAGGACTGTGTCATTAGCCTCTAGATGTGAGCGTATTCTAGGAAGAGGAGATTTGTTATCTCTTTTTTTTTTGTTAGTTGACCAGACATGAATGAGTAGAGGACTTTCATCACTGCCCAGTGCAAGGTGTGATCTATCTCCCTTTCTTCTGTCTTCTGAGGGCAGTATTGATATGGTTTGTTTCATGGTGATTTATGTGTTTCTGTAGCTCTTCATTCAAGCTTTGCATTTTTTATTCTTAATTTCTTTATAATGGTACATGTTATGCTCCTGTACAT